TCTATGTTTTAAACATATCATTGTAATCATAAGTACTTCTTTAACTACATTCTAATCTTATATAGTCTTGACGGCATTTTATAAAATATAATTTTAATAAACAAATTGATATAACTAACGGATGTTAAATTTATTTCAGTTTACTAGCTTTATTAAAATACAATGTTGATGCATAAAAACTAGTCTGGATTTAGTACGAGAGAGATGGATTTTTGTTAGAAGGTATCTGTGAAAAGGCTCAATGAATCTTATGATATTTAGCACAGTCTGGAAGAAGACATAAGCACATTATTAAATTTTATTTTGATTCGGCACGGACGAAGTCGCGGCCGACAACTAGTCTACGATAAACGACTGTTTAAATAATCCTTTAAAGACTCTTAGTAATAAGACACTTCGACAAATGGTAAAGTTATTTATAGTTAACGATTATTAATGTCTAGTAATGTACTTTGCTATGAAACTTCGATTTCCCGATGAACTTTGCGAGTACAGCTAACTCGTATTTCCTAACCGACCATTGTTCGCCATACCTCGTGCCCGAGATATTGTTCGCTCTCTGTACTCATATAATATTGATTTTAATACGTAATCTACAGTATTTTTTGTTATTTGAATATTATTAGATCAGTACAGCTTTAGACACCACCATTTTTGAATAATTCAACATACCGATAAGTGGTGAATATGCACTAAGTACAAGGTAAAATTAAGTACAGGAACTACATCGCATAATAATAACTTAAACGTGTCAGATTTTGACGTTATGTATATATCTAAAAATTGTCTGTACGTACGTATATAATAATATATTACATATTGGATTGCAGTGCGTGGATTTGTATCCACGCGACCACGAGCCACGGGCCACACAGAATACTTTGAATGCTTGAAGAAGGCTTAATGGAATGACACAGCCTTTGTGAGTGCCGCCCAATTCTAATGCCTATTCAAATGGCATTTCTTCTCTTTGTTGCTTCATTTTGGACGGCAATAGGTTATTTTATTAGTGTATAAATGAATTTTAACATGTTAGAATGGATATCATCGGTAATGAAATTTGATGCTCGTTTAATATTAAATCGACATACAATTCTTATTTTTTGAAGACGAGTGAGATCAAAGGTTAGTACAACCTACATATAGATAAATGGGTAATTTACATGAGTCACAATGTAGATTAGTTGTCGCCCGCGATTCTGTCCGCATGTAATAAAAAAAAAAAACAAAATTAATAGCCTGTGTGTTCTTCCAGACTATGTTCTATATGAATGCAAAATTTCATCGAGACCTGTTGAACCTTTTTGGAGATACCTTCAGCATCTATCTATCCACCTTAACATTCGCATTTATAATATTAGCAAGATAATGCAAAATAGCAAAATTTATAGTCTTAGTCTTACCCTAGAAAAGTTTTCTGTCATATATGGAACTTATTTGTTCACTCAGAAACAATATTGAGTAATTTTGAAAAGTAAAAATAAAAAAAAAATCCTATTACTGTTTTCGGATTGAAGTTTAATAAAACGAAATTGCTTTTGTGTTTATTTAATTATTTTCTTACAAAGCAATTTTTATAATTCTTGTTTGTTTTTTTTTTATTTTATTTTTATTCGCGATAAAAGTAATTGTTGTGGAGGAAAATTTTTATCGATTTTGATTTACAAGACCATGTTGCGCAGGTCATTTCGATAACCTGCTTTCAATAAGGTAATATGTTTTGTAAATAAAATAATGTTCAATCAAATTGCTTATTTTAATATCCACAATATTATACAGAATGTAAAAATATTCCAGTGTAAACATTCTTATTAAATTTATTTGATGGAATTATTAAATAGGAGAATGATATGTAGACACAATAATAATTAATACCTTGAACTCTGACTTGGATTATTACTGCTCTTTCGCACAGTTATCGTGGCCATAAAGTGATATGGAAGAAAGCGGCATGAGTTGACGTAAAGCCTCATATAAATTTTACTATAGCCACATTAATGTCGCTACGTGAAATTGATTTGCAAGCAGAAACATATTATGATTGTGAAAACGGGGTTTACGATTTATTTACACAATACAGTATCGAGTTAAAATATTAAAAACTATCACTGTAACGCTGTAATCAAATGCCTGTGAAAAATTCTTACCAAATTTCATATCGGTTTTGGTAGATTCCGTGAATTTAAAACTGCATAAATCAAATGGAATAACAACATGCTTCATAAATGTAATGGAATAAAGATTTGAAAAAGTTAAATGAAAAAACATTTATATGTTGGTATTACTTAAAATTGTGGGAAAATATTTGATAAATGCGCAACTAACTTTATTGACGAACCAAGAATTTAATAACGAAAACAAAAGAGATGAACCAAAAGATAAATTAATGAAGTTCGTTAAAATAAATCAAATTCAATATCGCAAAAATTGACTCGGGAAATTTAATCACCAGTCGACAAAGATAACCTTTGAGTACTGCGCTTGCTGATGGAAATGTGATTGCTAATTAAAGTTGACATAGAAATGCGTACATTGAATACAAAATCTTCATTTATTCGGTCACGGTTTACCTCTTGCGTTTAGCATTAAATGATCGACTCTGTTTCAATTTCGTCTAACACGAATGCAACGGTTGAACTAATCGGAACACGATTATGTTATTGTGAGAAAATTTTATACGTTTCTATACTACGGTATCTTTATCTTATGCTTAGTTTGTGATTATGTTTCGTAGCAACAAGTCTAGCGATGAATAAAGCACGTAAGTAAAGTATTTTTGGTAGAACTTAGATTTGTATTAATTCTGATTTTTTCGACATTTCTAAGCCAATTCTGAGCTACCTTGGTGGTCTTTTATGTGAACAAAATGATGCATGATCCAATACTGCTTCCGGACGATTAGTTTCGCCGACATTATTTGAGTTTGTTGTTAACTTTGCCTCCTTTTGCGTTAATAGTGTTACAATGTTTGCGAATTCTATTACGCATTGTACACATTATATCGTTTTTGTTGCCGCTGAATGTCTTTCATCGATTATACGTTTGATTGAATTTGATCTATGGAGGAGCACTTGAAGTATACTTTATGTATCTCTGACAGTTTTTCTTAAACTATGATTTTGATGAAATGCTATTAAATATTCTTGGAGGTTTGATTTAAAACTATCTTGTTGTATTCTTTCCAGTCTCATTAATTTCTTTGCTTGTACATGCTCTTAAGCTTTAATTAGCTTCATAATTATAGACAAAGATTTTAATATCTGTTTATCGCTGTGTCTTTTTGTTTATTATATACTTGTAGTCCTAATTTATTCAGTTATGTCAAAAATTTAAATAGTGAGTGAGATATATTTAATGAAGTGATACATTATTATGAAGCCACCCACATTTGTATAGCGAAGTTATTATGGACACGTTATGCGTCATAAATATTTCGGCTACATAAAATTAACACTCAAAAACATGGTCTTTGGAGGCACCGCAACGTCTACGGGGTCTCACAAAAAAATATGGGGATCGTTTGCGTGAGTCCAGCTAAACCGCAGAGCTAAATTTAAAATGAGGATTTTGTACCTTATCTTGATGGTGTTATATTTCAAAATTGTTTGATATCTAGAAGTTTGTAATTTTCAAGTTTTGTAACTTGTATTTAACGATAGTTAACCATACATGTTTGTGTTACGGTTTCTTTTTTATTATCATGTCTCAAGGATGGTATATCGAAGGACACACTTGTTGACATGTTGTTTAATTGATCGGTGCTTCACGGTAGGGGTCTAGGGCTTTACGCGTTGCGGCGCCTTTGAGGAATCATTCGATTTTGATATACTGTAAATGCCGAAACTAGTGGACGATGCCACTGTATTTTTGTGTAAGACAATCAAGCTTTTCTGACGTATGTCAAATAAAAAACAAAAGAAAAACGATGATAATTAAATATTGATTGTTATAACGTAAATGTAGTTATGTTGAATGGATAGAAGGTTAAAATGCTTAGAGAAGACATTGCAAAAATTGATGAATGGCGGCTCCTTTGATGATAGGTGGTCCTCAGACATTGCCGTGATGTGTTTATAATAGCTACACTTTACTCACATATAAAAATATAAA